GTGTTTACTGCTGAGATTGTTGTGCTTGTTTCGAAAGTATTACAGTTGAATATATCTCTGTTTATCCTTCGTCGGTGAGCACTTCGGACTCACCCCTCGCCTGCGGGGTTTCATCCCGTAGGTTTGGTTGATCGTAGTTCAGGTACGATGTTCGTTAGCTGCTGCTTATTTCTCCACCTGACTCCGGATCCATACCCCGCTGCATTTGCATTCCAGTCTTCCGCTGCTTGTCTTTCTTTTATGATATTGCTGTTGCTGTTGTACTATATCAGTTGTTGATCAGTTTGGTGTGTAATGGATTGAATAATGGTCCCCGGTTTCGGGTGACGAATATTGTATTGGGAGTTGATTGTGTTGTATTATACATGGTATGTACTGTCTGCTACTGTAGTAAGAACAGTTCCGGCACGTGTTTACCCTGTATGGTAATTACGGGTCGGGGCGTTTCATCCCTTGCTAATATTAGGCATGAATTTTGTAATCCATTCTAAGCAGGAAAAAATACAACAGGCAGTGAGGTGAACAAGAAGCAGCGGAAGAAAAAAATGTGTCGTTTGCTTGAATTACACCCCTAGTTGCTTACTTCTGTACACTTTCATCAAAATTTTCTTGTAGCGAACTAACAAAGTAGAAGTTGCATCTCTCATCTCTCTTTCCTTTATCTTTAAATTCCTTAAATACAACTTTTTATATGTTGTTTAGTCATGTCATAATGCCAAGATCTTCTAGCACTTAAAAATTAGAAAAAAGAGATGCCGAGGAATATAGAATCCATGTAGTGAAAGATACTTAATTTCATGCACTCTTCTATTAGTTTGCCAATTAATTAGCTCTAATTGCAACGATTGAATTAATCGAGGCCGCTGGGGCGTAAGTAGGATATATTAATCTGAAGGGTAGGCTGATTCGAAGAGCTTTCCAATAAAATATTAGTTTTTAAAATGTTGGCAATAGAAGACATCTTAGCCGTGATGAAAGGAACTCGGGTGGCTAATTAAAGATAAACCAACTAATAAAATCTTTAACACAAGCTAATTAAACTATATTGTTGACCAATTAGTGTTGATAAAAATAGTTAAAAAATAAGCCGACCAATCAATAAATCCGGGGTTATCTAAACAGAACAAAGCCTTTTTTGGCTGATATCAAAAATATGCCAACGACTTCATACGATGTTGTGGCGGCATTAAAGACACGATGTTCTTACCGCTGTTTTCCTCCTAAGAAAAGAAAAAAGATCCCATAGATTTTTTGCATAGTGTGAGCCATGTTGGGATTTGAATGAACCCGTTTTCTTCTTGTTGGCTACAGGACAACGTTTAACTTTATGCAATTAATGACGAGTGAACGGTAGATATATATGGCATCCACCAAAAGGAGAGGCATATTAGGCAAGGTACTATCGATTTTGTAACAAAATGCGTACAATTAAAAAGATGAAACAGACACCATATCAAAGGTTAGGCAATGCGAATTTAGCCAAGGTCAATCATAAATAGTCTTGCATACTCAGAGATCAGGTCATGCATATATATTCAGTATACTGAATACGTTCCTTAATGCTTAGTTTTACCAAGATTTCTGCACAAACAATCCCGACCAAAACACTTAGAAAAATCCATCTAATCTTCATATATAGAAAACATGCTTTATACTTGGCAGCTAAGAATTTACATGTCCATCAAGTAAATCATCTCGCAGGCGTGAGATAAACAGAGCCTTCTTCCCAAAACGCCCATTTCATAGTGTAAGGGGGCGAAACATCTTCGAATAGAGTGGCATCAACTATTCATTAATAATAGGAGAAAGACAATGTACCCAATCAAACCAACTCCAACTTTTGAAGTCGGAGACCCTTAAATCCTTCACGATCATCTTCAAAATCCAATCCACATACTGGACAGTCATAAGGGTACTCTACAACATAAAAGATTAGGTGGTTAGTTAGCCACCCAGAAAAGTCTGAGATGAAATTAACCGCAGAACAACCAAGAAAATACTTATGATCATTGTCTTTTACAAAGGACTAGCTAGGTACAAACAAGATAGGAAGGAACCTGTACTTCAAACGAGAATCATATCATATTTGGGGAAGGAAATTACAATTAATGTGAGAACACCATCCCAAGGAAAAAAATAATGTCCAGCCCCAAAATCTCAAAAATAAGGCTACACAGTTTGGATCGGATCTAAGTTTCAGGCTAGATGGGGCAGTTATGCAGGGGTCATGAATCAGTGGACAGGGTTGGGTTATAAAAAATCAAAACAAGACAAATTAATGCTGTATAATTAGAAGAGTGGGCGCCATTAATGACTATGTTGCAAATATGGAAAGCAATGGATGAATTCCTATTCCAGCAACAGAAGATAGACAGATCCTAATTAATTAGGAGACTCTAGACACTAGCAGAAGCATGAGATGTCCCTAAAACTTATAGGGAAAGCTTTGATATCGTATATATACAGAAGTTGCAGTGATCAACAATAATGCAGAAGATTACGTACCAATCCAGCCGTCGGTGGGATCAACTTGGAAACGAGGATCCTTAAGGAGTGGAGATTCATGAGTGAAAACTCTGCTGGCATGGGCATGGGCGTTTTTCATGCGGGGAAAAGGGCCTCTTTTGTGGATTTGGGCATAAACAGTTGTGGGTGGTCCACCTGGAGAGAGGGGCATAGCGTTGAACTGGAGGTGGGTGACAAAACCAATTCCGGTTAGCACGGTGGAAGCGAGGATCATCTTCTCAAATTGGAGCTGAACCCCCTCCTTCTTCTTGTAATACTCAATTGCCAATTGGGCAGGCTCTCCAGCCTGGTTGCCTAAAAAAGTAGGGAAGTAGTCTCGGGCTCTCCTGCAAGAGTCGTCAGGAGAGAACAACTCATTGATCATGGTACGCAGAAACGGACGTGAGGAACAAACAAAAAAGGGGGGGAATATATAACAATATTACATACTCTTTATGACGTTCCAAAAGAACACGAAGTCTGGCATCGCGTTCTTCTCTTGTTTGAAGACTTCAATTGGAAACAGGCATGAAAAGATCAGAATCAAAATTGCTAATTATAAAAAAAGCACATATATATATGATAAAAATACATATAACATACGGTTTCCGCGGCGAGTACTCCGGACCTCTACGGGAAGATGTCTCCGCAGCAGCAGCGGCTTTCTCCTCACTTAATTTTGCAAGAAAGAAGAGAAAAAGTTAATTCAAGGAGAAATTATGGATCGAGTTATTTTAATTTTATAAAAGAGAACTAATCGATAAATAAAGATCATGCACCACCTGTTGTTGTTGCCGCCGCCGCTGTCCGAGGAAACCCTTGCTGCCCTAACTCCAACGGAACCCTTTGGTCCTCCTCTGCGAGGGGTATGATCGGGGATAGTAGGGGTAGGGTTTGATTCTACCATCTCGGGTGCCCCTCCTTCCTTGTTGCCCGATCTTGTATCTACTCGATCCATCTAGTTTTCTGTCGCGTTTTTTTCTTTTTTCTTATTTTCTGTCGATTCTTTCGTTTCCCTTCCAAGGTAAAAAAAAAGAGAGGAAGAAGATGGTCTTATATATCCGCGTCTGTCTGTCCAATCCGGGCCTCTACATATTCCCTCACCATCAGGAGTGTCCAATAAAAGAAGTTTGGGTCACGGGCCCAAAATTTTTGGGAGGCCGAAATGGCTAAAATGATGCAAAAAATAACATCGGAGGAACTCGAACTTTTGTTGCAAAGCAGGAATCAAAAGCATTCAACCACCGAGCTACCATTTTTCTTTTGAAATTAGAATGTACTCCCACTCTCTCAATATAAGATTTTTAAGTTATTTGCACAACCTTTAAAAAAGCATTAAATAGATCTGATTTTATTAAATTTTATTGTTGAAATCACTAACCTATTCTTTGTATTATTTCAACAACAACACTTACCCCTTTTATTATCCTAACAATTAAATAAGGATAAATATGAAAAAAGTTCATTTAATGTTTCTCAAAATTTTCAAAGGTTCTTATATTTTGAAAAAAGGGCAGATTTTATTTAATGACGTGAAACGTTGGGGCTCGAACCCACAACCACAAAGTTAAGAGACTTGCGCTCCACCGACTGAGCTAGACCAGTTTTTTGTTTACTTTCACATAATATAAATAATATAGAATAAGCTAATTAAATGACAACTATATAATTAATGCAATGGTAGTTAATTACTTTCAATGCAATCTTAATACATTGAAATTTGAATACTTTTAATTGTTTTATTAACTGGTTAATCATCACTATATAATTAATTTCTTAATAATTTTTAAAGGAAAAATAACTAGTACACCATGCTAATTTGTTTGATTTCATCCCATAGTGAGTGAGAATTGGCGTTCTCTTCAATATTCTCTCACAAACTTGCGCTGGCTAAGCGTAAGGAAATTGGCAATAGATGGTAAAACTCGCCCAATGAGGAGAGTGTTCGAATTCAACTCAAACGGTGTTGTAAAAAATATGTTAGACTAGTATAAAAAAAAAATGTTAGACCCAAGGTTATTAAACCCGGCCTGGCAATTGACCCATTTCAGTAATCGGATTGCAGTTTAGAGGTTTAGCCACGGTTTAATCGGGTCTGATTGGTATTGATATTAATAGTAAAAATGTATAATTTTTTAGTAAACGGTCCAACCAAAGGTCTGACCATGACAAAATTTTGAATTTTTTACTTTTAACCTGGAAAAACCGTGAATGGGTCAATAAACGCGGAAAACTCGGAGAACCCGTCATGACCCAGCCGGTTTTTTAAAGGATACAAACCGGAGCGGCAAAAAACCTAGAATTGTCTCCGGATCACGGTTACCCCAGTTCAACCGGCAAGGCCGGTATGGGTTTGACATCAATACTTAGAATTGCGGCTGCCATGTTGGATTTGTCTCGTTGTCCTGGATTTGTAAGGCAGCATGGTTAGCAGGTGATCGAGGGAAATGAAGTTGGCATGGGATAATGCCTTTGCTTACCACACCAAATGCATGTCTTTGTTTGCATAAAAACAGTTTGCTATCTCCATATGTTGATAAGATAAGATACGTACATAAATACTAGTATTACAAAACCAATCTGAAGCCTCCTCCTAACAAAGCAAAAAAAAAACAAAAAATCCATTAATAAAAGTATAAAACCTCGTTCATGGGTGAAGCAACAAAAACCCTGCTGATTATTCCATCAATACCAACATCAATTCAAAGTCAAAATATCAAAATCAGGGCAAATGCATACATGCTGTCGGTTGAATTTGGGGCCAAGCATCTTTTAGGCACCGTTTGTTTCGTGGTACTTGGACTAAGTCCAGGTGGACTCGCGTGGACTTGGACTCTTGTCCGCGTTTGGTTCGCGGACTTTGGTTGAGTCCATGTGGACTTCCGTGGACTCGAGTCCCCTGCTCGTGGTACTCGGGCGTGGACTCGAGGCCCCTCGAGAAGCTGTGGCCTCGGAGTCCAGGCGCGATGGACTCCAAACTTCTGACTTTAATACCCTCCCTCTTTTTCCCTAATTCCTAGAAAACCCTGCATCAAAGCACCCATTTCTTCCCCAAAAAAATTCAGACCCGACACAGGAGAGCTCTCATCTACTCCACTCTGCTCTAAACGAAGGTGAGCTCCTCCCTCTCCCCAATCCCATCGGCCACCGTCTCCCTCCTCTTCGTCCTCCTTCTTCTCCCTATCGTCCTCCACCCTCTCATTCTCTGCTCCGTCCTCTCTTCCCCCTTCCTCTTCGGTCTCCTTCTCAAAACCCCATATCGAGCTTTGCAAACCCTAATTTGGAAACTCTGTTTAATCCTTCCAACCACCACAGCCTCCTCTTCGTCCTCCTTCTCCCCATCTACCGCCACCTCTCCTTCTCTTCACCGTCCTCTCTTCCCTCTTCCTCTTCGGTCTCCTTCTCAAAACCCCAAATCGAGCTTTGGAACCCTAATTTAGAAACCCTCCCTTATCCTTCCAGCCACGAGCCTCTTCTTCATCCTCCTTCTTCTCCCCATCGTCCGCCACCCTCTTCTTCTCTTCACCGTCTTCTCTTCATCTCCCTCTTCTTCTTCGGTCTCCTTCTGAAACCCCCAATTCGTAATTTGGAAACCCCTTCCTATTCTTCCAACCAATTAATATGGAATTACTTTTGTCGTGCTTCTGATTATGGTTCTTCTCTTTGGTTCCCAATTTATGTTTTAACAGAGTTTAATCGGAATTGTTTGGAGAGCTCTAAGAAGGTTTGGGCAGTCACAGCTTCGGGTATGTTCCTATTTTCTTAAATCATAGAATTTGTATGTGTTGTTGTTTTTATGTTTGATTATATTGTTGTTTTTATGTCTGATCATAGAATTTATTCTTTTTCGTGTGATTTTCTTATCTTTTTCTTCTAGTCGTCGTATGTGTATACTGCTTTCTGTTTTGATGTTCTTCTTTTTTCCTCTCCTTTATTTCTACAATGAATGATGTAAAGTGTTCTCTAGATTACTAGGGAGATCTGATCATACTTTTGTAATAAATTGAACGTGTAGCTTAGGCTTGCTGTTGTACATTTGTATTGTTTACAAACTGTCTACTGTCTTTTTTTTGTCTATCCCTCCCTCTGTCTCCAATTCTCTTCTCCACTTCCAACTATTAACTTAAGAATGCATATCATTTATCTACATTGTGATTCTTTCTGAGTGCTCTGCTGCATTAATCTAATTATTGTATGCTTGTGAGATTGTATTTGTACCTAAACGTTGTAATCATTTCTCCCTTAACGCAACAACCTTTAATCCTTTGCAGGTTAGCTCCCTCTCCTAAGCAGAAAAACACCTGTGGAGAAGCATTTCGGTAAGATATATGGCATTGACTATGAGACTTCATGTTTGTGTAACCTCATGTTTGCTGATTAATGTGTGCTGGGTTGTGATTGAATGGTTGAATGTATTGTACATGTTTGCGAAGCATGATATATGTGTGATTGAATGGTTGAATGTATTGTACATGTTTGCGAAGCATGTTATATATGTGTTATTGAATGATTGAATGTATTGTACATGTTATATATGTGTGATTGAATGTATCATTACTGATGGTGTTGTTGCTCTTGTGTTCACCTTGACAAGTAGAGAGAACATGTGATTGCCTTTACATTGTGGCTGTTAATGATGGTGTTGTTGCTAGGTGTTTTGCGCTTATGCATTACTTCAATGCCTACTGGTTTTTATACGGAATGCGATATTGTCTAAAGGTTTTTTAATTTCTTGTTTATAGAACATGGATGAATGGGATAGGAAAATGCTGTGCATATGGGCTCATCGTAGACGCCGTCGGGCTCTAATTTTCTGTATGTTTGTTTTCGCTGCTGCCTATTATTGGTTGAAGATTAGACATAGGTACAGTAGGCGCGCCTTGTACGATAGGACACAATATCCCAGTCTTAGGAGAGCTAATATTAGGATGTACACCTCATTGAGCGATGAAAATACCATTAATGCTTTGAGGATGGATATGAACACATTTGCCAAGTTGTGTGAATTGTTGCACACCCAAGGTGGGTTGAGATCCAATGGCAATGTTAGTTTGGAGGAGAAAGTAGCTGCATTTTTACACATTCTAGCACATCATAAGAAGAATAGGGTCATTCGGCAGGCATACTATAGATCAGGAGAGACCGTTAGTAGAAATTTTAATGCGGTATTGAGGTCTGTCATCATTGCCCAAGATGCCTTCATTGTTAATCCAGAACCAATCCCTGACGATTGCACTGATTCAAGGTGGAAGCATTTTAAGGTATTAAATTGTAAAACTAAAATTGGAATTTTTTAAAACCCATTACATCAGCACACACATGTAGTTGTAACAATGTTGGAGTTGTGTCTACTAGGGGTGTTTGGGAGCTTTGGATGGTACTTACATTGATGTAACCGTACCTGAGGCTGATAAGCGTAGATATCGTACAAGAAAGGGGCGCATTTCCACCAATGTTTTGGGTGTATGCGACAAGAACATGAATTTTGTACTTGTGTTCCCCGGGTGGGAGGGGTCAGCATCCGATTCAAGAGTTTTACGTGCAGCTGTAACTCAGGATGAGGGCTTGCAAGTACCAGTTGGTATGTCACAACAGTTTAGAATAACTATTTTTGTTTTTTTTCATTTTTAGGCATCATCTTTTAAGATGTGTTTTTGATTCCCTAATTGTGAATTGTTAGACAACTACTACCTAGTTGATGCTGGGTACACCAACGGTCCGGGATTCTTAGCACCATATAGAGGAGCACGATATCATCTCAAGGAATGGGGTAGTGGGAATAGGGTTCCTGCTGATTACAAGGAATACTTCAACCTGAAGCACGCAAAAGCCCGTAATGTGATTGAGCGTGCTTTTGGATTGCTGAAAAAAAGATGGGCAATTTTGAGGAGCCCCTGTTTTTATCCAATTAATACTCAAGGCAGAATAATTCTAGCTTGTGGATTCCTCCATAATTTCATTCGACGCACAATGTCGTTTGATCCTGAGGAGGAGGATGTGTCCACTGATGCATTGCTTTCCAGTGAGGATGCGGATGGAGATGTGGAGCTCATTGAATGTGTTCAGAGTACCACTGAATGGACTGCAAAAAGAGATCAGCTTGCGCAAAATATGTACAATGAGTGGCTGGCAGCTCGAAATGCTACAGTGGAAGTGTGATCAGTTTCAGATGTGTTCTCTTTTCATGTGTTTCATCATTTATTTGCTTGTTCTCAAACACATTTTTCTGAATTATTTCAAATCTGAATGTTGTTTCCTAATTTCTGTAATTGCTTGAACACTCAACATTTGTAGTTATTTCTTTAATTGGGTTTAACTCTCAATTTTTTTTATACATTTCTGGAATAAATTTTGCATTTGAGGTGTTGTTCTTGTTCATGATGTGTTAGTTTGGTTATTTGATGTTATTGTTTGTATACGCATGCATGTTGGTGCAAATGGTGTGTAGAGATTGGAAATGGCCAGCAAAGCAGATAGGAGGCCCTGGACTAAGGAGGAGGTGAATGTTTTGTTGGATGTGTTGGAGGATTTGGTTGTGGAGGGGTTTAAGGCGGATGCGGGTCAATTCAAGCCGGGAACTTATGCCATGATCCTTGGCAAAATTA